GACGACTGGATCGCTGGAAAGAGCATTATGAGGAGCAGTTTAATTGGCCCACAGCCACGCTCAACCTGCCGAACATCCAACACCTCCCTGAATGTGATATAGACACAGGTCCTCCATCCCTAACTGAGGTTACTAAAGCTGTCACCAATCTAAATCAAGGCAAAGCAGCAGGACCTGATGAATGACTCCAGAGGTATTTAAGTACGGTGGAGACAGTTTACTATCTGCGTTAACTGAGGTACTAGACAGCGTCTGGGAAGCAAAAGTCCTGTCGGGTTGGTGTAAGTCACTGATTATCCCCATATACAAGAAGGAAGACAAGTCTTCCTGTGATAATCACAGAGGGATTAGCTTGACTAATATAGTATCTAAAGTCTTAGGCTCAATAATCATGCGTAGACTAAGTGGTGCTCGGGAGGCACAAACACGAGAGAGCCAGGCAGGCTTTAGACCAGAAAGAGGGTGTATTGATCATATCTTCACCCTCCGACAGATTCTAGAACATAGACATTCCTACCGGCGTCCAACAGTCATTATATTTGTTGACCTAAAGGCGGCACTCGACTCTGTCGATCGAGAAGTTCTCTGGAGATGCTTGGCCGTAAAGGAAATTCTGAGAAAATATATTGCACTGACTAAGGCACTCTACTCGTACTCATACAGCCAGGTGAGGGCTTACGGCGAGCTGTCATCTGAACTGGTGACGACCAGTGGTGTCCGTCAAGGATGCCCATTATCCCCTTTTCTATTCAACTTCATCATAGATGTGTTAATGGACTTAACCCTAAGTGACTTCAGCGACTCAGGGATTGACTTGCTACCCAGGGACTAATCTCGTTGACTTGGAATATGCAGACGATATAGTCCTTCTAGGCGAAGACGCTGACGAAATGCAGAGTCTTCTAAACACCTTGAGCCGCAATCTACGAATGTTTGGCATGCGATTCGCTCCCGCCAAATGCAAGATGATGTTACAGGACTGGACTACATCGACTCCTAGATTAGAAATAGGAAGTGAAGTGGTAGAGCACGTTGACCGCTTCACTTATTTGGGAAGTACCATCAGCCGGTGCCAACGGGTTGATCTCTGACGAAATCTCAGCACGAATACAAGGGGCTCGTTTCGCATTTGCCAGTTTACGCCGACTCTGGCGTAGACGAGATGTTCGACTATCGACCAAAGGGCGGGTGTACTGCTCATCAGTCCGCTCCGTCCTCCTTTATGGCCAGTTGTGAGACCTGGCCACTGAGAGTGGAAGACATGAAAAGACTAGCTGTCTTTGATCATAGGTGCCTGCGCTCTATTTCCCGTGTAAAGTGGCATAATAAGGTGAGCAACATTGAGGTTAGGCGTAGAGTTCTAGGTAAACAGGGGAAATCAATCGACGAAGTCGTGAAGCTACAAAGACTGAGATGGTTAGGACATGTGTTACGTATGCCAAGTCATCGCCTCCCTCGACGAGCAATGTTAGCGGATATAGGGTCAGGCTGGAAAAAAGCTAGCTGCGGTCAAACAAAAACTTGGCACCAGTCAATGAAATCCACAACAGTTGGTCTAAGCCACGTAGGAAGGTGTAGACTTCCAGGCTGGGGTCCTCGGGACGGTAAAAATCTATGGTTGGAAACAATTGGTGACATGGCTCAAAATCGTTCTCAAGTGGCGCAGATGCATCCACTCCTTGTGACTTATGATCTCCAATGAAACTGTTTTGTTTTTCTTTATTACTCCTTTGTCTCACACCTCTGCTCACTGTCTCTATTATGCTTTTCTTGTACTTTCTTCTCTTGCTTCGCGTGCTACACGGAATGTGGCGACTTGAACTTCCGCACATTTGTGCAAAGTTCTATGTCGAAAACAGACAGACAGACACTTGAACTCTAATGGGAATTAAAATATTCCGCTAACTCGAGCGTGGCTTATTTTTAATAAACATGAATAAGAGTTGTATATTTATTTCGAGGCTTATATAGCCACCAACTAATTTGACTTCTGCGCCTTCAATCATTTAATTTCCTGCACTTGGGTAATGTTTCGATGCTGATCATTCCTGAAGCAATGATTTACACTAGGAAGGTGAAAAATTCCATGTCGGAAATAGCCACTCGGTGAACAGGAAGCTCTGCATATTTCCAGAATTTTAAGGCATTATGATTGTGTATGTTTGCCTACTTCACTGTATTTTCTCTTATAAAGTATATATATATATATATATATATATATATATATATTGCTTCTTGGACGAATACAACTCCTAGTGGAAACCCTGAAAGTTTGACCACGTTAGGTTTCGACACAATTAAAACAGTACAAAGGTAAAGCACTTGGCAAGCATCTATTTCACTGGAAAGTGGTGTCATGAATTTTATATCAACCAAGTCGAATACCACACTAAGGCAACGAAATAAGCCTGTAGGTGGGACTGTTTTCTCTAGGCAAGTCTAGAATCAAACTGGTTTTCTCAGTAGAAATTTCCAGATATCTGGGACAGGTGTTGAATCATTCCTATTACACATATATTAATATGGTTTTCTCCGGTTTGTCATTCCCTAGTTGTGGTTCTGTCTGCCTGTCTGGATTCAACATATAACTTGTCATCGAAGTGCAGCAGTTCGAGTTGCCACGTTCCAAATAGCACACAAAGGTAGACAAGAAGATGAGTGAAGAGAATCAATAGAGTTTGACAAGTATAAGAGTGGAACAGAATGGGTAATGGTAGAAAGGAGTATGAAAGATTACAGAGACTGAATACATCTGCGCCACTGACAACGACTTTGAGCCATGTCACCTATTGTCTCCAGCCATTGATTCCTAGAGTCCCGAGGGCCCCAACCCGGAAGTCTGCATCTCCCTACCTGATTCAGTTTAACTGTAAACGATTTCATGGATTGATGCCATGTTTTTGTTTGGCTAGTTGTGATTAGGCATAACCATCTATTCATTCGTTTTTGCTTGTTTGATTGTCATTTTTCTTTCGTTCATGTCAAATTTTCACACCGATGCGAAGGTCGACAGTTGAGCTGACATGACTTCATTAGAATTCCCAAGGTTATTATGGGACAAACGGCCAAAATTCTCTTTTTTCGCTTCTTATTAAAATTTCTAATACACTGATATACAGGATGACATTAATAAGGATGCCGTTTTGCTTTGTTTTTGGTAGTTATCGATAAAACTGGATCTGTTTGAGTATTCTTAAATACATAAAATGTACTTTTAGGGGATGAAGATATCATGAAATCGAAGTATGTGTTAGTTTCCATAGAACCACAGATTTTCTGCTAGGTGTATTATTTTTGGTGTGTAGTTCTACTCTTCTGTTTTTTGATCTATAACCCTCCATATCAGTTAGAGATTTCCGCACCAGATATTTTAGTAAGGTTTTGGGCGTAAATTTTAAGGCTAATGGATGGAATTTTTCCAGTTCCAGTTTTTGTACTTAAGAACTTTTTTATAGTTAGTTGAAGCCACGTAGGAAGGTGTAGACTTCCTGGTTAGAGTCCTCGGGGCGGTAAAAACCAATGGCTGGAGACAAACGGTGATATGGCTCAAACTCATAGTTTTCAATAGCTCAGATGCATCCACTCCTTGTGGCTTATTTTATCCAATAAAACTATTGTTCTTCGATATTACTATTGTTTTTGCCGCATATCTCTGTTTACTGTATCTGTTTTGCATTTCTTCTCTTGCTTTGTGTTCTGAGTGAAGTGTAGCGAATCGAACTGCTGCACATCGGTGCAAAGTTCTATGTTGAAACCAGTCAGTCAGTGACTGAAGAAAAACTGTTTTTTTTCGTTTCCAAGAAGTTCAACCTGCCAATAAGATCGAGGCTGATAGGTTGACATACTCATGTGTTTTGCTTCGTTGTTTTCCAGGTAGTTAGTGTATTTAGCGAAGACATAACAGAAGTTAGAATTCATGGATCATTGAATCGAGTCCCAATGGCTGAATGGTATACGAGCTTGCCTTGTAATCGGAAGGTCCTAGGTTTGAACCCCACTGGGTGTGTACTGCTGATGATTCCCAAACAGTTGAAACAGTTGTCCAGTACTCCCTGCTGGTTTTCAATGGTTCTCTCACTGATACCACTCCGTGGTAAAACTCAAAAAACAAATCAAGTCCTTGCAAATCAACTCTTGAAAATATATAATACTTAGAAATGAGGTGGTCTATTTGGTATCGTGAATGGCTACAGTCAAGTAAATTTATTTTTCAATGGTCGATAGCAGTTTTCGGCGTCTATAGATAGTGGTATACCATTATTAGTAATGGATTTTCACTGATACTTTAAGCTGTTTTACAGTATCCAATCCATCACTCTAGTACTCTGTCATATTGTTAACGAGAAATATTTGAGTGCACGTGATTTAGCGAAGAATTTGTGCGGATACAAAGGGCTAGTTTCACATATAGCAGTTTACGCCGTCTCTGACGCATACGTGGTATCCGGCTATCGACCAAAGGGTGGGTGTACTGCTCATCAGTCCACTCCGTCCTTGTTTATGGCTGCGAGACTTGGCCATTGAGAGTGGAAGACATGAAAAGATTAGCTGTCTTTGATCATAGGTATCTGCGTTCTATCTCCCGTGTGAAGTGGCATAATAAGGTGAGCAATATTGAGGTTAGGCATCGGTCGATTGCTAGGTAAGGAGGGGAAATCAATCGACGAGGCTGTGAAGCTACATCGACTGAGATGGTTAGGATATGTGTTACGTATGCCTAGTCATCGCCTTCATCGACCGACAGGCAATGTTAGCTGATATAAGGTCAGGCTGGAAAAGAGCTAGCGGAAGTCAAATCAAAACATGGCACCAGTCAATGAAATTCACAACAGTTAGTTTAAGCCAATCACGTAGGAAGGTGTAGACTTCCTGGTTGGGGTCCTCGTGATGGTAAAAACCAATGGTCGGAAACTATTGATGACATGGCTCAAAATCGTTCTCAATGGCTGGCGCAGATGCATCCACTCCTTGTGACTTATGATTTCCAATGAAACTGTTTTGTTCTTCGTTATTACTATTCCTTTTGTCTCACACCTTTGTTTACTGTCTCTTATATGTATTTCTTCTACTTTCTTCTCTTTCTTTGTGTACTACATGGAGGGAATGTGGTGACTTGAACTGGTGCACATCGGTGCTAAGCTCTGTGTCGAAAACAGACAGACAGAACTTGTGCGATTCGCTTCATAACAAACGGTTGTTTTGTTGGTCGTGAGTCTATTTTCCAAAGTTGTTTCGTTGATTTCATATGAATCATCTGTCTATACGTAATTTGATAGGTGCATTTAAATTTAGCTAAAAAATTCTATCATCAGTGTGTTGGATCTAGTTGGCTTTGCTATTGCAGTCATTGAGTATTAGAGTTGGTTGATAGCACTTTATTTTACTTATGCTAAGTTCTGACCTTATGACCATTTACTGTTCATAAATGTATTCATTTCACCTGTCATTCTTCTAATTCGTGTGATTACAGTTGATATGATTATGAACAATAAATTTTGTTCGAAACGTCATCCAGTAAATAATACTGTTTCACTGTGTGATGCATCTAATAAACAAACCAATATGGAATTACTTACTATCACAGTGCCCAAGTTTTACACATATATTTATAAAGATTTCTTTCTTTCCAGAAACATGGCTGGAAGTAGATGGCCAGCAGCAATGGCTCCTGCTGGCAGAGTTGGAAATTCCTCTCGAGCGAAACAAGTTATTTTTGAACCAACATTCTCCAAAGTATGTATTTATTATGCTGTATTTACAGTCCATTAAGATGGAAAAAGAAAATTATGCACTAACTCAGCGATTAAAGGAAGCATTTTATAAGGTGAGTTTAGATTTGTCAAATCATTCTGTTTTTTATTTTACCCTTATTAGGTTGAAAAAAGATATCCTGGTTTTAGTAAAGACTTTATGATTGGCCTACTACAACGGTTAGGAGTTGATAACGAAATGGATGTGACTGAAACCTGCCTACGAATTGCAGCTCTACAAGAATGTGGTAGTTTCTTTGATATTACTTTAATATTGTGAATTACTTTAGATAACTCGAAAACCTCCAGAAATCCTCGTGTCTCAGAGCTGGAACTTACAGCCAAAACACTTAAAACAATTCTTAGCAGTATACCAGATGAAATTACCGATCGAAGAGCATTTATTGAAGTTATCAAGTAAACAGAGTACTGAATAACATTTATTGATTCAGAGGTATAGCAGATGCTATAAAGATGTTACTAGCTGCTGTTGGCGCGTTTTATGATACTCTACCACCAGGAACACAAAAGAAATGTCTTGAAGATCAGAAAAGAAAATTCATTACCTACTGTCGTAAATTTAGTGATACATTGAAACAATATTTCAGGAACAACGAGTTAGTGGGCGATTTTTTTGGTCCAGAGTGTTATATACTCTTTTAACTAATATTTTGTTTTAGTGAATGCGGTTTTTTAGATTACCCCTCCCCCCTCCCCTAGTAGAGTTTAGCAATAAGGTAGGCAAGTTCTAGGTGATTTCGTATTATTCCAACTTGTTTGGTAATTCTAAAAGCTTTTCTGTATGAGCCGACCTCATAATTAAAAAGTGGAGTCAACTAGTGCGTCAAATCGAGTTTTGTGTGGGTTTAGCGAGGGTTGAACGAAGCTCATCCATGGCTCTGTTTTATCTCATCTCGTGGATATAGAACAAAAATTGATGTTGAGAAGGCTTTTAAAGTTATCTACCGTATACTAACTAGTCTTAATTTAAATTCAAGAGTTCGTCTGTAAAAATATTCCTAATGCTTTGGCGAAGTATAGTGAAACCGTAGCAAAACTTTGGAAAAATCTTGTTCTAATTTTAACAACCTCCAGTTCACAAGACATTTTTAAAAATATTTATGATCTTGTTATTTATGCACACAAGGTCATAAGTGGTCCATTTGACATGCATAACACATAGAATTTCGAGTGAAAGTATTCATCGTGGTCTTTTTTATAGGCGCTATAACCGAGGCTATTTAGATTAATGAACCAAACTTTTTGTATAAAACTCTATAATACTGATTCACTGAGATGAGTAGTTGCACACCACTCATATCAACCATTATTGCCTGCTACGTAGATAACCAGATTGAAGTGATCTAAACACCGGGCGGCTGTTTCGTTCTTCAGGGGCTGAGTTCGTCAGCAGTGTATCCGGTTCGACTCAGCTCAGAGAGCCGAATCAGTTGAAACCACTTGATTTCTGCCTAGCTACTTAGGCGAATTGGTGTTACCTTTCGGAACTGTGTACATCGCAAATTGTGATTTCAATTGAATAAACCCAGCTTTTATGTACTTGAAATTATTATTCAGGATATTTTGGCGATATGATCATCAAAGTGTTTAGATCCAAATAAATTTATTTTCTTTTGTTTTCTTTTTCAGTCAAACTGTAGTCTTCAGCAGTGCAAATCTATTGGTCAACCAAACCAATCTAATCCTATTTGTAGTTCATGATGTCGATTGAGTAAAGAGAAGGGAGTCAACATCATAAATGTTTCGGATTTTGCCTATGGAATATGTTTCATAGATATGTGATTGCCTGTGTATGCAATACTAATTTGTGCATTCACGATAACCCCACGCGCGTACACTTCAGCTGATATCACTTCTGTTGTTTGTTTTTTATTACCAATACTGGAGTGTTTTTTTTATTAGCTAATTTGTTTTTTCTAAAATATGCAACTAGTGTTGACGTTTTATTTTGAATCTTTTCTCTTGTTATTATTTTTTTTGTTTTCGTCACGTCCTCTTTGTAAATCGATAGTGCTAACTTTCTATTAAATAATAGGATATAAACTGTTGTTCTTTGCTTTATGTGCTAAATGGAGTAGGGCTACTCGAACTACTGCATACCTGTGCAAAGTTCGACGCTGAAACCAGTCAGTTGAAAAAAAACAACAACTTAAGTGCTTGAGTAGATTTAATAGTTAGTATCATCCAGTGTATGCTAAGTAAGTAGTTCCCAGTTAGCGTCATTCAGCATGCGTTTAAGGTTATGTATATTGTCTTGCGAGTAGCATCTGTGTCGCCTTTTTTTGGAAAGTTGAAGAAAGACACTTGTACGCAACTTGCTAAGTATTTTAGGCAGCACTAGATGAATGCAGTGATCAGAATTCAGTATTGGAGCACGTCCACCTGCTTCATATACATTTCAGCGTCACTAATGAACACCAGATGAATTGTTTAGTTGACAATGCTTACATGATCCAGTGATTCAACGAAAGGAAATTCGCAGGAATCGAAGTCACTGGTGACCATTGAAAGAGAATGCCTCACGATAAGTAGCAGCGAAAATCGTAAATTGTCCGCAAAATTAGATAGATTCGAGAGGGAACAGCCATGGGGTAACGTAAATGATTGAGGCAAAAATGTGTTTGTGCTTTGACTGTAATACAATCAATAAAATTAGTCGAGAATGTAAGACATACATTTTTTGAAATCGACCATTGGGTATGAATAAGAGTTGTCTGTCTGTCTGGTTTCAACATAGAACCTAGCACCTGTGTGCAGCGGTTCGAGTCGCCACACTTCACTCAGAGCACACAGCAAGAGACGAAAGTAAAAAGAAACACAAAACAGAGATAGTAAATAGAGATATGCGGCAAAAACAATAGTAATATCGTAGAACAATATAGTTTATTGGATATTATAAGTCAAAAGGAGTGGATACATCTGAGTCATTGAGAACGATGAGTTTGAGCCATATCACCAATTGTCTCCAGCTTTCATTGGTTTTTAACTTCATGAGGACCCCAACCAGTAAGTCTGCATCTTCCTACCTGGCTTAAACTATCTGTTGTGGATTTCATTGACTGATGTAGTCGTGTTTTGGTTTGACCACCACTGGCTCTTTTTTAACCTGACCGTATGTCAGCTAACATTGACCATTGTCGAGGAAGGCGATGGCTAGTTATGCATGCGTAACACACATGTCCTAACCATCTGAATCGATGTAACTTCACAGCCTCATCAATTGAATTCCCCTGCTTACCTAGCACTCGACCGATGCCTAAACTCAACATTGCTCACCCTATTATACCACTTCACACGGGAGACAGGACTCAGACACCTATGATCGAAGACAACTAGCCTTTTCATGTCTTCCACTCTCAGTGACCATGTCTGGCTCACAACCAGCCATAAAGGAGAACAGAGTAAACTGCTGAGCGGACACACGCCATTTGGTCGACATCCAGCTGGATATCACGCCTACTGCAGAGATGGTGTAGATCAGCATATGCGAAACTAGCCTCCTGTATCCGTGATGAGATTTCGTCAGCAATCAACTCGTTGGGGCTGGTTGATGCTACTTCCCAAATAAGTGAAGTGGTCAACACGCTCCAAGACTTCACTCCCTATTTTTCAGCTAGGAGTCAATGTAGTCCAGTCCTGTAAAATCATCTTACATTTGACAGCAGGAGCGAATCGTATGCCAAACATTCGTAGATACTACTACTAATAATAATAACAATAATAATTGCATCTCAAGTTCTTCAGAAGACTGTATTTTGTCAGCGTCTTCACCTAGGAGAGAGGATTATATCACTAGCACATTCTAAGTCAACGAGATTATTCATAGCCTGGTAACAAGTCAATCCCTTTGTCTCTAAGGTGAGTTAGGGTTAAGTCCATTAGTACATCTATGATGAAATTGAATGGAAATGGGGACAGTGGACATCTCTGACGTACACCACTAGTTGTCACCACTTCAGATAAAAACTCACCGCAAGCGCCCTAACCTGGCTGCGTGAGTACGAGTAGAGTGCCTTAATCAGTGCAATGTATTTTCTCGTCATTCCCTTTACAGCCAAGCATCGCCAGAGTACCTCTCGGTCGACAGAATCGAATTCCGCCCCATAGGTCAAAAAATATAACGATTGTTGGACGCCGTCGGCAAGTATGTTTCTATGGGTGCTTGCTTTAGATAAGTCTCAAATATTAGGACGAAACAGTTGTTCAATACTCTCACCTGGTTTTCCGATGGTTCTTTAACTAATGTCAGCTCATAATCAATGCTGTAACCAATTTTGAGAAATTTATGAGTGTACATTTATTTGCATTGCATTTGTTTCCTTTCTATTTCATTTAATGTTTATATAAACTGATAAGTGTTTACAGTGTAGCAAAAACAAAATTTCTTCCTACTTCTTGTTAGGAAATAGTTTTTTTTTATTATGAAGTGTGGCATTATTAGTTGACAAACAAATCTGTCAATGAACAGAACAACAAAATTCAACTGTACGATTTATTTATTCATAAAATAGTGAAATTGGAAAAATGAGCGTTTTTTTATGAGTATAAATCATGATTGAATCATTTTCGCTTAATTCTGTAACTTCTACCCAATGAAACAATTTTGAACTTAGTGACATTTTTTGAGATTAAATGTTCCGCTTGTTGTGTGTCACATTGATTGTGATCAGCTTAGTGTAGATGATCTCAAACATATCGACTGAGATCCAAAAAATTTTCTTACCACTTACTTCTTAGTGGTAATCTTAGTTTTAAAGTTTACCAGAGAACCTGAATGCATTGTTCCGAAAATTAATTCTAGCTTTTTTCATTGGTTTACTATAAACTCTTGGTAATAATGATGCTGATGTGAGGTATACTACTGACAAGAGGTATAAGTAGTATATCGTTGCAGACATAAATATGTAAAATATCTGCAAGAATATTGTGTAGTGGAGAGAGATGGATTTACTGAACAATGTTTGTGAAACAAGATGGAGAACATGAAAGGAAGACAATAGTAGCACACCACCGAAGATATTTTCAAATTGCTATTCTGATATCTAGTAGACGTTGATATAAGTATAAAACTTGGGCACTGTATAACTCCATTATGGATAACATTTGATTTTGATAAATCACACAGTGTTATACAGTAATATTAACTGATGACCACATTTCGGTGCACAAACTGTTGCTCATCAGCATATCAAGCTACTCACACAACTTTTTTCTTTCATTTATATACATGTGTAGACGTCTTTTGGCCATTTTTTTATTTTTGATTACAGCTTGATTCCACACTGTATTTTCGGTACAGGTATGGAATTTTCAGCATGGATATCGATAGCCAAAATTTTGCAGGCCGACCATAGATATCAGGTGTGCGTCGGCAGGGCATCGAACCCCGGACCATGTGCATGGTCGGCGAGAGTCCTAACCACTGTGCCACCGACGCCATGTCTGTGTGTAGAGTTTCCAATAAATAATTCCGTTACCTAATACTCTAGTGTTCTGCCGTTGCACTGGTTGTAGCTAGAGGAGTACAATTTTAGTCGCTACAGCCAGTAATGGGTTGTATGCTACCTTGTGTACACAATCTGAAAACACCACTGATATCCCGACTAAACTGTATGTGTGTAAGCAATGTAGTTGGATATATTCGAACATTTCTAGATAATAATAATAATTTTTCCTTCACGTTCCCAGTGGAACATAGGGCTTCAAACTAGTGGCTTGAAGTTCCTATAGCAGTGTGTATTTCACAGGATGGGGTTGCTAGCCTCATGCCCAACCTTTCCTCTTTAATAGCATTATTTCTGGCTTAGCGAGGTAAAGGACTGCGTCGGTGGCGGGGATCGAACCCCGAACCATGTGCATGTTTGGCGAGCGTCCTAACCACCGTGCCGCAAACGCTTGGATATTTTCGAAATTTCTAGATGTTTCGGTCTAAACGTATTTCTGGGCTGAAATATCATGTAATCTAAGCGAATGTTTAACTTGATAGCTACACTGTACACTTAACTGATCAGCTGACTGAGAAATAGGAAACTACATTGGTTACTTAATAGTACAATTGTTTCCCTTGGTCAACTTGAACAAATGCAAGAACAAGAAGTGGTACAAGATGATACGACTTCATTTTATTTTGTTAGTTCTTTCCAACTGCATGCAATCTGGAACAGTTTCTATAACAAAACACAAATATTCACCTACTGTGACAAAGTAATGTGAGGAAGGAGGATATTAGTACTATGCATTCGGCAGAAAGTTTTGGACCCAAGTTTCGTGCTTATTGACACAGGTCAGCAAGGTGTACCTGACACCTTGAGGGAAGTCATATCCCTTCTGGGATTCAAACTCTGATCAGGCTGTGCTGAAGTCAGAGATGTTACCACTGAGCTATGCGGACTCGTGATCCACTGTATTATATACTCTGATTGAACACTAGTTAGTAAGTAACTAGTGTCATGCGTCTGGTCGGTTATTTGGTACTGACTGTATTCTACCAGTAGTAATGTCTCTAACCTCAGCACTGGTTGACACTGGTTCGAATACGAGAGGGAACATGAGTTCCTTCAAGTTGACTGCAGGTACACCTTACTGACTAATGAATGCCGAAAAGCACAAAACTTAGGTCAAGCAAGGCTTTCTACCGACTGCCACCAACCATCTAATGACAACAATTCAGAATACACCATAACGGTGAGTCACATTGAAAATTTGACTAATAGAATTCAAGCTGCACCAAGCAAAGGACTAGATACTAATGACACTAGTTACTTCCTTCCTAGTATACAGTCGAAGAGGCGTTTGTTTACCGGCTGAAATTCCGCATACACGTATCACTCCTGTTGTGGTATTGTGATGCAGACAACGTGTTCCAACGGAATATTATTCTCACATATTTCCACAGCTTAATACTGCATTAGCACCAGAATACAATATATCTATTGGAACATTCTAGTTGCTGTTAGAAACAGAGTACTTTTCCCAGAGTTCAACACTGCATTTTTTAAAATTTCCTTCACGTTCCCAGTGGAACATAGGGCTTTAAGCTGGAGGCTTGAAG